ACAAAACTGGTTTGTCTCGCGGCAACACTGCAGAGAATGGTTTTTTATTTTTTTTTTCTCGATAAAGGTCGGTAATTCAAAAAAACTACAAGAGAACAAAAAGTTTCTAAATTGTGGGGCAGAAGAGGGGGCATGACCCTTGAAAGCTAAATCGCTCAAAAATTGTAGGAGCTTTGAGAAAAGAACAAAAAAAAATTGAAATTTCAATACCCTGTAGATCAATAACCGCAAGCGTTTGTGGACCTATGTTCATTATAAATTTTAGTAATAAAAGAAAACCAACGAATTACCCCCTATCGCTTGTACGCATGATATTTAAGAACACCCTGTATTATTGGCAAATGCAAAATAATAACATAAAACTCAAACTCACTATAGTAATATGTATATGCACGAGCAAAAAAAATAAACTAACTGTTGTATGTCAGAACAACAAAAAAGCTAATTGTTGAAGTAGTTGGAAAAAGTATTATTATTAAATTAATTTTATTACATTTTTGAATTTATTTTTTATTATTTGACATTTTTTCAAGGAATAAAAAGTTGTTGCTCTGGGGGGGGGGGGTGGGCAATTGCCCCCTTTGCCCCCCCCCCTGAATACGCCAGTGAGGGTATATCACATGAAATCTGCTCAGAAAGTCAGAATTTCACATAGAATCGAAATATGCAATCACATACAGGGTGTCTCATTTGAAATAAGCAAGTTGATGTCTACTTCCGGTATAACCGGAAGTGCCACCATCTTGAAAATTTTTATGATCCGCTTTTTAGTTATCCATAAACATCTAATACGCCATCCACCGTGGGACACCCTGTATACGCATGATACAATTGATACAAACTAATAAATGGTATAATTTGTATGTTCAGTACTGTTTATATACATGCATACAAAAAGAGAAAAAGAAGCCAAAACAATATAGACAAAAAATACGACAGGTCACCGAAATTCATATGAAGGAAAAAAAAATGCAAATTCGTAGAAACAGGAGTGACGAGCTAGGACGACAAATTTTCCTTCGTTTGGGAAACATTATAGATTTAGTAGCTGCTGAAGGAAAAGATCATTTGCATTGTTGCCAAAGCTCAATTCGCGATGCTCCAAATTGTACCCACAACAAAAAGATAATGAAACACATAATGCATTTTTAAAATTATATGATTATATGGAAAATAGTAACGATCAAATTAGCAACGTTAAACGTCTTAAAAAAACACCCATCGATGCACAACAAATTGTTGATATTTAATAACTGTGATACTGATAAGGAAATGCTATTACAAGCTGTACACGAATTCATGTTTTTAATCTATGGATTGAAAGGCACCCGTGACATAAACGAAGAACGGTTTATACAATGCAACAATTATATTGCCAAACAGACATTGGCAAAATCATTTCATTTGGCTATTCTTCCACCTACAAGGGCTGCTTTAAATCAACATATATTCAGGTAAGAAACTTTTATTGATAAGGAAAGGTTTTTAGATAATAAGCATTATATTTTAAGGTGTACCACCAAATTCAAGTCTGGTTGAGAAATGTATTTTCACCGGAAGAATTTGGTTGGAAGGTGTGCAACAACGAAATGTTTCCAGTAACTACGCAGCAGGCTCCAGCACCCTCAGAACTTCTAAGCCTCATTTATTGTAAACTAGCTGACCCGGCGAACTTCGTACCTCCTCTGAATTATTAAATACCTAATTAAATATTGTGTTAACGTATCTATTAACTGAATTAAATTCAGTTTTTTTCGATGGTGAATTTGGCTTTGGTTCAAGAAAATTAATTTTTACTCTCTGGATCAGAAGTCACCTAAAATTAAAATTTTACGTCATCCCTTTTTAGGCATCTTGTGAGCATTATTCTTGTAAAGTGTACCACCAAATAAATAAACTCAGGCACAGGAATATTCAAAAAATGTAAAGAAAGCAAAAAAAATCTCCAGCGCAGCCCTGTTTCATTTTATCTGCATTGCATGCACTGCAATACTCCATCTGTTCTACTGTATCTGCACTATTCTATCTGATCTACTCTTTCTGGACCACTTTATCTGATCGGAATAGTGGAATAGTTCTGTTCGGAATAGCTCCAGTTCCTTAGCAGTATTCTGTTCTATTGTATCGGCAATGAAATTACCGCGCAACGGCGAGCTTCGTTCTAAGTATCATATATGGCGCCGTATACAAAATGGTTGTGGCGAACTCATAGCCTGGCTCTCTGCCACTCGACACCAGCCGGACGGATCACTCCGAACAGTCGGCACGAAACACGGCTGTCAAGGGATACCTACAGAACGTCAATGGTCAAGCGTCAAGAAATGACAGGGAGACCAGTTCGCGCTCTTTCGGAACGAACGAACCAACAACAAAATAAAATACACAATTAAAACATTGTCATTCTATTTATTTTTGGACATTTTTACTGTGAAGAACAATTAAAAATAAAGTGCTTTCCTCAAATTGTTTTTGTGCAAAGTGTGTGACAATAAAATCCACATGGTTTGCAATGAAAATGTGACGGTAAACTTGGTATCGGTTATAAGAGATGGCGCCGTATGCGGGCTTAGTGAGTTTTTTTCATAAATAAGTGAAATAGATTTTTTTTTTTTGTTTTGTTTTTGGATTTTTTCGATTTATTATGTTAGGATGGACAAAGACAAATCGAATAAAGCAAAAATCATAAAAATCAGTCCAGCCGTTCTCGAGTTATAAGCGCTTCCACCCCAACACAACTGTGTTTTATGTATTGTCACAACTACCCGCTTTACGGGGGTGACATGGGGGGTTTGTAGCTTTGGGGGTTGATGGAGAGAAACTCGCTCAGGTTATATAAAAATATACGCTATATATTTTCCCAAATATAACCTTACGTGTATGCTAATCCTATAAGATACATGACCCTTCGTACACTGGGATCCTTCTAGGGGGCCACACGTCAATGCTGCTTGGGGGACTGTAGATAAGTTTATCGTCACCCTTATGCCTTGTCCAGAGGGGCGTTCCCAACGAGAGGTAATTGCATTGGACAACGATAAGGCTGAAGATACCCAGAGGGGCGTTCCCAACGAGAGGTACTTGCACTGGGGAGACTTAATTCCAGAGGGGCTTTTCCAACGAGAGGTACTTGCACTGGTTTAAGTCTGCCTTTGCTACGGTTTGCAGTGCAATTTATATCAATTTATTGCTGAATTGCAATAAACATCCGACCGAATCGGCAATTAAATTAATAAGATTGAATACCGGGTCCTCCTTTCCTAAGCAGCTAGTTGACAATATTATAGATGTAGAAATGGTTGCCAGAAAAAATGTGTGTGCTCGGAAGTCGGATGCTGCAGTGCCATGTGTCAAAACTGTCATGGGATTGACTGTAAATATGCGTGCGTTATTGAAGAAGACAATTTTGAAGTCTGAATGTCTTTATATAATTCTACAATTACAATAGTTTCAGTAATACATTTTTTATTTAGCTTTTTCATATAAAAAAACCTAGAAATTAGTTTTTATTTCTTTTCCGTTTGTAATTTGTTATTTTTTCGTCATAAATTTTTTTTTTTTTAAATTTTACTCGCTATGACGAATTCACTAAAAAAAAAAGATACTGAAAATCAGACCAACGATAAGTGAAATATCACCGTTCAAAGAGAAAACGCGCTGGCGACCATGCTTTTCAAAATGGCGATTTTAGCTCACATGCGATTTTTTGGGACTTTTGGATTTTCATTCTACACTAAAAGATATATCGATTACCGTTTTAAAATAATTGTTCGGAAACACTTCACTCAAAAATTGAAATTTGCCTGGTGTATGTTGGCAATAACTAATATTTGCTCACATACACTTTCTTCAATAAAAGGCAATGAGTTTGAAATTTTCTATGATCGAATACAATAAAATAAGTTGTTTTATTTGAAAATCACAAATGGCATTTCAACTACAAAGTTTTCCATGCTCCGCAAGCATAAACATTGTTTATTGTCCCAGATGTATGAAAGTTTGGGTTAGGGGACATTAAATGCTCACTTTACGACCTAGACGCATAAATGGCTAATTAAAATAAACACAAAATGTCAAGATTGCCAAATAACTACTGTTTGAAATAGGGTAGAGAACCTCTTTTTCTACATAATATCTACAAAGTGAATTCTACCATTATTTATTTTCTAAAGTAGGCACTTACCGCGAAAATAAAATTTCCGTGTAACGTATTCGCCGTAAATGTAAATGCGATAATTTAACTTTAGGAGAAACGCTAAAGAGCAATTAAAACCCTTTTGGGAGAGATGCATCTCGTTTTGCGCTACTAATTGTTTCAGATTAATTCAAATTTATTTGCGGTTATGCTACGTTTTCATTCGAGATTCTACCAGGCTTTTTTATCTAGCTAATTGGTTACCGGGGTTAGCTCTAGTCTTTTGTACCAGGATAATAATCCACTTTAAAGACTAAATTTAACCTGGGAAAAGCTCATTTTGTTTAATGGAATTTTCAATTTTCTAAGACCGGAACTTTCTATATCGCAGAATATTTTTTGATAAGTTGCTGATAATTATTCTAAAGATTAGATCTGGCAATAATCAACATACAGGGTGGCCCATCGAAAACAGTCCAGCAAGGTTTTGGGCTTTGTATGTGAAAATTTAAAAAAAAAATTCTTTTCAGGGGGACATATTTACACATTGATTACATCACAGTAACTTCAACCCCTTAGCGAGGGTGGCATTCACCCTTATTTTTTCAAATGTTGTGATACATCTTTTGAGAGGGTATCAAATTTTCTTTAAAATGGCGCTTCGTTATTTGAATTTGAGCTACGCGTCGCCGAGCAATGGAATTTCAAACATTTTACTGCATCTCTTATTTACAAATAGGTTCGTGAACAAAAAATCGTTTTTAAACTAATAAATATCAGTCGACAATTCAACTTTATCTTCGGTGAAGTAGTTGATGTGGATAGTTCAATATTTCTGTGATTTTCTTTGGTGTACATTCGATAAAAAATGGTTTATTCTATTGCGGAGAGAGTGGAAATTATTGAATTGTATTTTATTAACAATCAATGTGCAAGAGTAACGGTAACTTTGTTCAATGAGAGGCATGCAGAAAGAAACGTGCATCATGGTTACGTCCTAGAACTAGTAGCAAAATTCCGGCAAACTGGTTCAGTGACAAACAGAAAACGGAATATTGAAAATCCGGTGAGAAATGAAATGAGGCAGTAGAAGTAGCTGTTCTGGGTCAAGTTACTATGGACCCTAGATTAAGTACCAGAAAATTTTCTGATGTAACAGGTGTTTCTCGGACCACTGTACAGAGAATTCTGAAACATAATAAATGGTACCCATATAAAATTCAACTTCTTCACGAATTGAATGAAGATGATAATGACCGCCGTTTACAATTTTGTGAAATAATGTCCGAAATAATTACACATACTCCCAACTACCTTTTTAATGTTTGCTTCTCAGAAAAATGTTCATTTTTTCTCAATGGCACTGTTAATCGACATAACTGTCGTTATTGGTCCAACACGGATCCAAGGCTTTACCATGAGGCTCATACTCAACATCCTCAAAAATTAAACGTTTGGGCTGGTATTTTTGGTGATCACATTATTGGGCCATATTTCATACAGGGAAATTTGGATGGAGATACTTACTTAGACTTGCTGGAGCATGCCGTCAACCCAGCACTGATCGAAATTATGGAAAACGACCAACGTTATCATGAAGTAAATCCCATATTTCAGCAAGATGGGGCTCCTTCCCATTATGCATTAGCTGTACCTACGGGAGTTTTTGAACGAAAACTTTCCTGGATAGATTGGAAGGAGGGGTGCTAGCGAATGGCCCGCGCGATCACCCGATTTATCTCCCCTTGACATCTGAAATCGAAAATTTACGCCACCCAGCCTGAATCCTTAGAAGATTTACGGAACCACATTACCAATGAATGTCGACTAATTACACCTGATATTCTTCACAATGTCCGAGCACACTTTGAACAGTTGCTGTACTATTGTATCGAGGTGAACGGCGGACATTTTGAACAGTTAATAAGATAACACGTAAGTAGTAATCAATTATTAATTTGATTAAATTTCTCGGCAACCCATATTACAAATTTCAAAAACGAAGCGCCATTTTAAAGAAAATTTAATGCCCTCTCAAAAGATGTATCTCAACATACCCCTTCCCATTTGAAAAAATAAGGGTGAATGCCACCCCCGCTAAGGGGTTGAAGTTACTGTGATGTAATCAATGTGTAAATATGTCCCCCTGAAAAGAAAATTATACGGGTCCGAGGATTTTTTTAAAGTTTCACATACAAAGCCCAAAATCTTGCTGGACTGTTTTCGATGGGCCACCCTGTATAATAAATGGTGGTAGTTTTCCATGTTTGGTTCGTACAATTTGCTCCAAGAATGGCCGTTTCCTAACGCAATCAAATTAAAATAAAAGCAACGCCATAGCGACTAATTGCAAACTAACTAGACTTTCCAACGTCATTAAAGTGCAACTAAAGACCACGGGATTACCGAGATTTTCTTTCGATTACCACCACTGGATTGCTTTTATCTCAGTTCGAGGAACGCTCATTTCTTTATCACATTACCGGCGACATCGTGAACAGGAGCCTTTGGCTTTAGGAAATTGGATTTGAAATTTCAAAATGAGATTAAAATTACTATGCAAAAATAATATTAGTATGCGTTTTGATATTTAATCATCAGTTGCAAACGGTTTTCCAAAAATTGTCAGACGATACAGCGATCGGTTATAAATTGCTGTCAACTGCAGCTGACGAGCTCGTTTACATCACAGACACATAAATATGTGGTTTATAATAGATTATACATTTTTGTTGCACAATAAATTACATGTCATTGTATATGAATATATATTAATAATCTAGTTTTCACCAAGTGGATATCAAAATCAATAGAATAATAAATTTATACTTATCAAGAGTGGAAGTTCAAATTTAACTTTGTGTATCAGAATTTTAGTTTGTCACTGAGCAATTCGAAAAATATTCATATTTTAAGTTGAGTTAAAAAATAAATATTTATCGCGAAAACAACTGTTCGCTAGCCCATTGAAACTCAAGTGGGAATTGGAATTGAATCAATAATCTGGTCCTACCAATTACAGTCAATAAAAAAAAAACTGTACATAGGATTGAATTCATACGAGCATAGAAAGATTGAGGGGATACTCAGAAACAGGAAAATACCAGTGGCGTACACGCGATTGACCTACGAATGGAGAACCATACGAAAATATACGATACTGTATGATTATTCAAAAACTGTACAGGGTATTTGATTATATTTGGACCCATATCTACAGCCTTTACTATTTGAGATAGAAAAAAAATTTAAATACAAAACTTGACAGTTTTTTCCTATATGTATTTTCTTTTAACGGTATCAGAAAAAACAAAATTGCATCGGAAAATGGAAAAACGTAGGCAACTTGTAACCCCTTTTGTTATGAACTAATTAGGGGTCCATAATATGCTCAGTTAGCTCAGTGAAAAAAAAAATATTAGGTGTGGGTTGATAGTTTATTCAGTACAGAATGGCGAGGGCGCCACTGAATTTAAAAAAAAATTTATAAAATTGCACAAAATATGGAAGTATGAAAATTCAGAAACACACCTAGTTGTATTTGCTGGTTCAAAATAGTACTTTCGAAAATAAAATGAACACTACGGACTGTATACTAGTAAAATGACCTCTGAGCTGGTCAACTGAATGCGCAATAAAATTGTGAATGTGAATCTTAACGTAACCGAACTTACTTGAACCATAGAGTGTTCATAGAATTCGGCACGGCATGGTCGGCATTGCTTATTCTATGATGGCGGCGAATCGACTCGTTCCTCGTTGTCGTTGTGTAGGATTGAACTTCGGGAGGTTGTGCGCGCGCGGCAGGAAGTTCAAACGCGCACAGCTGGCTGTCAGAACGCGGATAATGAACGTTAGATCGCGCGTAATTCAAATATCAAAACGCACAATGTCAATAATTAGTATAATTACAATGAATATCATTAACTCTACCAAACCGAAACACGATAATTAGTAATCTTGAAAAAAAAAATAATAATAATGCACACAACTCAACTCTTGACCTATGGGTAAACCAATAAAACAATTAAGTAAAATTTCAAATTAAAATAGTTTATATTTCACAGTCGGTAAACAATTCAGTATTGGTCTATTCCAAAATGTATGAACAACTATTGTTGGTAAGGCACCGTTCACTTAAGCAAAATAAAGAAGTTGACCTTTAATCAAATTATTTAAGCTCAAAGAAGAAATAAAAATAATAATAATGATAAAAATAGCATAACAGCAAATTGTACCTCAATATACTTGCCTCATAAATTCATTAACATTAGTTACCACTATCATCAATTTGAACGGAAAATATAAAGATTTACGTTTCCGGAAAGCTAATTACAAAAATTGAATGATTAAAAAAAATTCGATCAACGAATATGGTGAATCTCTGCAAAAAATAGATTTGAAACAAAACAAGCTGTACCTGTGAAAAAATCAAAGGTTGGATTATAAGCCAAATGGTCGACTTGAAGGAAATCCTCCGCTATATAGATTATAAGAGCCCTGGTTAAAAATTGATCAATTTTCGACAACAAGCTATTATCTAAGAATTCAAATTCAGAACATATTATTGTCCAACCTCGACCCTTATTCAGATTACTTATTTATAAAATTAATGAAATTTAAGGCAAGATTAAAAGTTATGCCAACATAATAAAATTAACAGGAAAGAACTAATTTTTTTTTTCCTCCGCCATAGTGTCGAGGATACATTTGTACATTTATAAAATAGCTTCGTAAATAGACTGTAAAAATAGTAAAAATGATTTTATGGAATAAAAAATGGAAAGTTAAGAGTGATTATTGAAACTTATACAAGCCTCCATCCCAATATAAGGCCTATCCGGAAATCATCCATTCTCGTCTCTCGATATCTGGACGAAAGGGGCCACACATGGAACTAGTGGATTCCAGCCCAGAATTCGGGCAGAAAAGGGAATATAATCGTCGTCAAAGATGCAGCACACGTATTATTGACCTGTGGGGTCTTGATTCTAGTAGGGTAGAAAGCCCTTCAAAGGCTCAATATCAAGCTCCACGGAAATGGTGTTGATTCGAAAATGGGGCCTTTCTTGGAATGGACTTGTTGGATAAAGTCAGCCGTTTGAGAGACCCTAAGTAATATTGCATTTCTTAAAAAGCCATTACTTATAACATTTGCAAGAACTTACCACGTTTTTGAGTGGGAATTGAAACTTGAATTAAATCGTAATCGACGAGACTTTTTGATTCGAATTTTTCTTAAATCGACAGATTATTGCCACACGCAACTTTAATTCGTTAAACAGGGCAACGCCCAAAGGCCGGTAAGATATTTTATTTGATCAGCACTTTCAGTCAACCGTACTGTTCAACGAGACAAATTCAAAGGGGCGAGAATCAATTTCCCACGGACCAGGTAAGCACAAATACAGCACTTCCTCTCGAGATAGCCATCGGAAATTGTTGGTACTAGCCGGATGTCAAATTTAAAAGAGACTTGTGCCCTCTAGTGTAATAATTTAATATTTGCTATATAATAAATAGCGGGAACCCTGTAATATCAAATGTTAGTCAACATTTAAAAGGATTATATTAAGTTAAATTTGAAAGAAAAAAAAAACAAGTAACTTTAAACGTTACAAACTTCAACTTTTTTTAATAGAACACCCTGTATATAATGCGATAAAATGAAAAATCTTTTCTTCCTGATCGCAAATTTTCTCTGTATATTTATGACATATTGGCCAATCATTGGCACACCATCGTCAGTTGTAGAGATTTACCATTGGGATTTTTCTTAATATTGATGATGCTTCCTAATTAATGTCCTGTGTGGGATTTCCATTGATATTTTGCTCAATCTTCCATTCCCATGCCTTTGAGGACGGACCGATAGCATTATCTAAGTATTATTCAGGATTCAGAAACGAGAGCTACAGAAGTTATCGTACGAGCTCGCAGACTAAAAACAGAATCGTTGATATTTTGTGGAGCTCAAATTTGAGTTTTCTACATTCGTCATTGGTAATATCTTAAAAAAAAAATAGAATTCTTGTTGAGAAGTAGAATATTTGAAAAAATAAAACC